TCCACTGATCTCCCCTTTATTTTTATGGTATCTGCTCCCTACCTACCCCCCATTTTTTCCTTATTTTGCTCTAGCTTCTGCATATGAGAGAAAACATTCCAGTCTCTGACTTTCTCATTCTATTTCACTTAGCATGATTTTCTCCAATTCCATCCATTTATTACCAGTAAATGCCATAATGTCATTCTTCTTTATGGTTGAGTAAAAGTCCATTGTGTACATATACCACATTTTCTTTATCCATTCATCTGTTGATACTTATCTGTGTTAGCTCCCTAACTTGACTATTGTGAATTGTGCTTCTATAAACATTGAGGTGGTTGTATCATTACAGTATGCTGAATTTAGTTCTTGTGGGATAGCTGGTTCATATGGTGGTTCTATAAAATAAAACTACTTTTCAACTCTGATCTTGCTCCAAATCTTTTGTTAGGCAAAATTCCCTTTGGAACATTTCATTTCAAAACAAATAAACAGGTCTGCCTGAAACACATGAAATTGTGTTTTCTCTTAAAAGATCTACTTCCAAATGCTCAATTTTAATCAGTGACACCAAACTTTAACCAACAATTCCACATCAATGAATTCAACTAATCTCAGACAAAAAAATATTGAGGGGGAGGTGTCTGTTTTTCTTATCCCCCAAACAATACAATATTAACCATGCACTGAATAATGATGTTTTGATCAATAATAGCTCACAAATACAATGGCGGTCCAGATCATACTGGGACTAAAAATTTCCGTTGCCTTGTATTTATACTGTAACTTTTCTATGTTTAGATATGTTTAGACAAATATTTATCATTGTTATAATTGCCTATAGCATTCAGCAGTGTACAAGTTTGCAGCCTAAGAAAACAGGCTACAAATGTGGGTCTGTGTAAGTACATTCTATGATGTTCACACAATGATTAAATCACCTAATGACATATTTCTCAGAACATATCCCATCATCAAGCAATGAGTGACTCTATCTACATTATAAAAGGCATTATAAGTAACAGAGATGATTGGAAGCATACAGGAGGATGTGTAATAGGTTATATGTATATAGTACATTGTTTATATGTGACTTGAGCATCCTTGAATTTTCCTATCTTTTGGTTGGGGGCAGTCCTGAAACAAATCCCCCATAGATACCAACAGAGAACTGTACCATTTCCTACTGACAACTGCATCACATCCAAACTGTGGGTCCTGGTTTTTATAACTCTGTCTTCTTCACTGACCAGTCTCACCCATCCACTTCCACCTATGTACTGTTATAACACATGGAGGAACAGGGTTAACTCTTCCCTCCTCTCCAATTCAAATAGGTTCTTCCCCATGCTCCTTATCAACAAGTTCACTTTTTTGCCAAATTCACGCTATTCTCTCATTGATATACCCTTTCCACTTTGTTCTGCTTACTCAAATCCCACCAACCATTTAAAGTCCAGGGCAAGTTTGTCCTCATCTATAAAACCTTCCCAGATTTCTAGCTAACACTAAACCCTTTCTATACTCAACTCTAACTACTTGATAAACTTGCTATATAATCTCTTTTCTCTCATATATTATTTAGTGTTTTTTCATTAAAATAGATCCTTATTTGATTTTTTTTCCACTTAAAAGCCTAAACTATTTTTCCCCCTGAACTTCTAACTAAGTGTTCCCTTTCTATTTTCCTCCCAACCATCAGGCTTCTTAAACAACTAGTTTACACTCACTGTTCCCTCTTCCTCATTTCCCATTTACTCTTCAACCAGCTGTCATCTAACTTTCATTTCTAAAAACTGCTTACACCAAGATCACCAAAAGACTACAATGCCAAACCTAATGAGTCTGTAGGAAATACCTGTTGTTTGGCCCTTCTGGTAATAATACCCCATTTTTCTTTTGGAGAGCTATCTGCTCCATCTCTGAGTTCTGATGGAACTTCATACTGGCTCACCTCAGGGGTGGGAATGTAGCTGACCAATAACACTTTTACACAAAAAAGAAAGCTGGCTGGGTCTAAGTTAATCCCACAGACTAACATGATCCCAGAAACTTCTGTTCTCAGACATTCCTGAGACTTCAGTATTCTGCCTTCTTTCATTTCATTGAGTTTATCCAGTATGTACCCATAAGTCCCCATTTTCAGCTTAAGTTAGCCAAATCAATGTCTATTGTTCACAACCAAAAAGAACTGGTCCTCAAAGTGGTACAGAGGTAGAAGTGGTTATCTCTCACAGTTACTTCACAATTTTCCCCGCTCTGGCCCTTCTCATAGCTAATATGAGAATGCTTTCACCAGGAAATCCCAAGATGGCTTCATTAATAGGGAAGTAAGGCTATCTGTGTCTCCTCGTGCAGCCAGCCAATAGATAAAAGGGAAATTACAAAGAGCACATATAGAAACTGGAGGAATCTTAGGGTACCTCTTTGTACTAAGACTAGCAGTGAAGTTACCAGAAGATGACAGTTTTTCAAAAAGGCAAAATCTTCAAGGGCTCAGACCCTCAGAAACAAAAGTTTGTAAACCACATCTGTATGACTCCAAAGTCTACGCCTTTAACACTCCACTTTCTAGTGATATCAATCTACCTGCAGGTACTTAATCAAGGAATGTCTTTCTCATTTCCGTGCTTTTGTACTGTTCCTTTGAATTGAATGCCCCTATGGATTCTCTAATGGGAACTTCTACTGTCCTCTTTTGAAACTTTCTCTGATCCCTAGAAGTTGGATTAGATTACCCTTCTCCATAGTTCCAAACATCATGACATAAAGTTTTAACATGAAATATACTCTATATGCTAATTAGTTTTCCCCATTAGCTATAAGCTTCTAAATGGTAGAAATCACATATATTATATTTGTGTTCTCAACATTTAGTACTCAGTACTAAGTGTAATCAATGTCCTTTGAAAGAATATCTAGTCTTTGCTAATTTTTCAGTATAATTATTACATCATAGATCTTGTGTACATAGGTTTAATTTAGCATCTTATGTAGTATTCCCCAATTCTCCCAATAAGTCTGAAAATACCTTATGAGTCAAGTTTACTATTTTATGTCTTCTGTATTCTCTTTAGCACCTAATGGTGTTGGGCACATGGTAAGTATTCAATAAATACTTGATGAACTGAATTAAAAACGCAGTATTAGCACATTAATAGGAGTAACTTATCATGTCCTACTGATCTAATTAAAAGATCTGGCCTTCTGAAGTACTGCAATTGTACCCATATGGCAAATTTAATGAGAAAAAGAAAAATTATCCAATTGGACAGTTAACAGCTTTTCTCTTAGCAAGAATTCCACAAATATTTTATGGATAACAAGCTCAGAGCAAAAGATTCAAGGTGCATATGTCTGTGCACACTGGATAGAAGATTATATATTTAAGGGATCTGTCACAACTGTAATTACTTAGACAATTACTTACACTCTACTAATTCTTAGTAAATCCATAGTAGAAGTACAGAACATCATATTTAATAGCAAAGGTAATGCCAATTCAACCTATGCTAAATATATATAAAGTTACGTTTGAATAATATATAACCTGGAAGTCATTTACTCATTTAACACACTTTATTAAGTGCCTGCTAATGACAAGTGCAACTTTAGGTCCTGAAAATACAAAGGTAAAGAACACAGACCTATGTTTGTTGGGTTCTAGCTCTTCCACACTGCACTGTATTTAAGAATATAATGTAAACCATATATATCCACCAATGCGGAAGAACTGGGGTTGGGGGCAGTGGTAAAAATCTGGAGGAAAAAGTAGATAAACACATACTTATGACAATGTGATAAGTGCTAATGGAGAAATACATGCAAGTTGTTAAGGGGCAATAGAAAATAACCTACTGAATAAATTAGTAAAATATAAGAAAATAACTGACATCTACATATGAATTCAATATTAGTAAGGTATGCAGAGAGAAACATTGGGGACTTAATCAAGATAAGTTGGAGCCTAATGAAACATGTATACATAAGAAGTTAAACGATACCATGCTTGCACACTAAGGGAATCTTTTAAATGATATGTATTATGAAAATTTAAAGAGAGCCAATCACTAAGAACTAGACTAAGCTGTCTGGAAAAACCTTCATAAAAGTATAATCAAAACTATTGCTGGTGAGGAGGGAGATTACAGAGAGAAGGACCAATATCCTTATAATGGCAATGTTGTTAACAAAAGCAGGAATCTCAATTGTGTGTGTGTGTGTGTGTGTGTACACACACACACACACATACTGAGGTTGTTCCAAAGGTTCACAATGGAACACAGTAGGGGCACACAGTGAAGACCTGCATTAGAAAAACTATAATATTTGCCTAGCAATTTGTATATTATTCTAGAAGTATGGGAATTTTCAGCCCTAGTACTGTTGAACAGAATCACTGGACATTTTTAAAAGATGTGCTCAAGGTCAAAAGTAACCTTTACTCCAGGTCAAAAGTAACCTCTGAGCTGGGTATAGTGGTGCATGCCTACAATCCCAGCAACTCAGAGGCTAAGGTAGGAGGATCATGAGTTCAAAAGCCAGCTTCAACAACAGTGAGGCACTAAGCAATTCAGTGAGACCCTGCCTCTAAATAACATACAAAATAAGGGTTGGGGATATGGCTCAATGGTTGAGTGCTCCCAAGTTCAATCCCCAGTAGCTCCCCCCCCTCCAAAAAAAAAAAAAAAAGGGCTGGGGATTTGGCCTAGTGGTTATGTGCTCCTGGGTTCAATCACTGGTGGTTTAAAAAAAAAAAAGAAAAGAAAAGAAAAGGAAAGAAAGAAAGAAAGAAAAGGAAAGGAAAGAAAAAGAAAAAAGAAAGAAAAGAAAAGAAAAAAAGAGTAACTTCTGGGGGGAAATGTCATGAGTCTTAAATTTTAAAGTCACACAAGGTGATGTGCGGTGTAGTTTGAAAACCACTGGGATAGACAACAGAAAGATAACATATGTGAGATATGGTTAAGACTCAAGCTTGACTTAAGACTGTTTTTAAACGACAGTGTTGGGCTGATTACCTGTTGAAAGTTATCTTCTAAGCTAAGTTAAACAGTCTGTTTTCTTCATGTTTCTTCCCCCGGTTGACAGGCAAAGCTATGAATACAGAAAAAGAATCCACCAGTTTCTCATAGACAGCTAGTTCACTGGCTGTATGGTCTGCAACTTTAGAAATTCACTTCTGTGATTTCAATTCTAAGCTCCCTTTGCATCCCTGCAGTGCAGTGCTTTCTTATTTGGGAATGTTCTAGGCTGCACCCATGTGCAAATTTTATAAAACTCTCAAATACAAAAAGAATCTAATACCAAAGGATACAAAAGTCATACTGCTTAGATTACAGCAAAATGTGAGATAAAGTATTCATTCTTGCAGTGCTTGGAAACATTATATCACTCCTGGTTTCAGAAGTCCAATGATTACAATGTACTTTACTTATTCTGTAACAAATACTTTCAGAGCACTTCAAATAAAAGGAAACACATGTATCCTACATAGCAACTCAGACATTAAACTAGAGTCCTACAAGGGGAGGAAAAAGGCAAGACGATAAAGAGTGTGACAGCCTGTTGATCTTTCAAAAAGCAAGTCTTTTTGCTTAAAGTAAACGTGGGGAAATGCTCCAGGGTCACTATTCCTCACCATAATTTTCACTCAAGAAATCTGGACATTGTTTATAAGTAAGCAACTAGGGCTGGGGATGTGGCTCAAGTGGTAGCGCGCTCTCCTGGCATGCGTGCAGCCCGGTTCGACCCTCAGCACTACATACAAACAAAGATGTTGTGTCCGCCGAAAACTAAACAATGAATATTAAAAATTCTCTCTCTCTCTCTCTCTCTCCTCTCTCTCTCTCTCTCTCTCTCTCTCTCTCTCTCCTCTCTCTCTCTCAAAAAAAAAAATAAGTAAGCAACTATATTCTTTTTTTATTAGTTGTTCAAAACATTACAAAGTTCTTGACATATCATATTTCATACATTTGATTCAAGCAGATTATGAAAAGCAGATTATGAACTCCCATTTTTACCCTATATACATAATGCAGACTCACATCGGTTACACATCCACTTTTTTACCTACTGCCATACTAGTGTATGTTGTATTCTGCTGCCTTTCCTAACCTCTACTATCCCTTTACCTGAAAAGTTGGTCAAAACTGTCTTGCTTTGTGCGGTGTTAGTACACTGTATCTGCTTGGCAGAAATGTTATCTGCACATCAGTTAGGATTTGGTATGTGGGCTTATTATTCGTTTATTTCCAGATAAAGTAAATGAATACAAAAACCCATAACACAGCGTAAAAGGGTGGGTTGGGTTGGAAGAGTGAGTAGGAGAGAACTCAACAAACTGGTGAACCTAAACAAGGGCCCAGAAACCTCGTGTTTCTTAGAGAAATAAAGAAACAGATTGAAGAGTTGATCATCTGCTTATACCCCTCTTATTCGGAAAGCAAAAGATAGATAGGCTTCTAAAAAGAAAATGCAAGCCTTAACTCTTGGACATAGGGGTGAGAGTTAAAAAGCAAGCCATACGACGAATTTGACGAGGGGTCCAAAGGAAAGTCTGAGGGCAAGGAAAGAAGGGGAGATGAAGAAGGCAAGAAAAGGTGACTGAGGCAGGCAAAGGCCATCCGGTGTGAACCGGGCTGCCAGGCTCTTTATGCACCCAGGACCACATGGGGCCTCTCTCGACCAGCGCGCGTCTGTGGGCCGGGGCGCAGCAACCAGCCTGGCACCGAGAGCGCCAGGAAGACTGGCTGAAGAGGGGTGCGCGCACCTCCAGCGCTCGCACGGGGCCCGGCTCCGCACACAGGGGTCCCCAGGAACAAGGCACACTTTGCTCAGCCCTCGCCTCTGGGAGCAAAGAAGGGGGTGGGTGGAGCTGAGCCCGGAGCCGCCCCCCGGAGCCGCCCCCGCAGCCCCGGCCCCCGCGCCCCGCCCCGGCTGTCAGCGGCCCCCTCCCGCAGTCACTTACCCGCGGGCTGCGTGGTCTCAGCCGCAGTAGTGGCGGCAGCAGCGGCGACCCCCGCCTGGGTCATGATCCCAGGCGGGGAAAGCAGGGGTGTCTGACCGCTCTAGCGAATCTCTGTGTCCGCGGCCGCCGCCTGCTCCTTCGGGGCTGGGGGAGCGCGGGCCCAGGCCCTCCTCTCCCCCCGCCCCCGCCGCCTCTTGTTGCGGCCACCGCCGCCGCTGCGAGCCCGAGCCCTCAAGGCCGGAGACCCGGCGGCAGAGCGGCCTCAACTTTCCCAGCCCCCCTCCCCCCCGCCCCTCCCCGCCCTTCCCGAGGCCGCCGCTCAGCACCAGAACAGCCTACCCTGGGTGCACTTCGCTCCCGCCCCTGTAACGGAACTCGCCAATCCGGAGCCGGGAAGGCTACTATGGTGGCCAATCAGAAGCAGGAACGCCGTTGCGCTGGGCTAGAAGCTGGCAGGAGGTGGAGGAAAAAAACCGAGGAGCGAACGGGCCTCGGGCTGCCCAATGAGGAGAGCCGGGGGGCGGAGGTGTGCAAGTTGGGTTGAAGGAACAGGAAATATTCTTAAAGGTAGAGTGATGGGCAAGAAGGAAAGCCAGTACGTGATTGGGAAAGAGGTGGGCCTGGTTCCTTAAAGGGGACGCCTTGAGAACCCAGAAAAGAAGATGTTTTAAGAAACTTCTTTGTGACCTGGTCTCTGTTCTGCTTTTCATGTCTTTCAATGGGAGTTTGGAAGTGGAGAAAATGAAGAGGAAGAGGGCACGGAAAACTTTCGAAATGATTAGAGAGCTCCTCGTGAAATAGAAGGCAAGAAAGGAAAGAGGCTGTCTCCATAAGAAGGTGGGGGAAAAATAAGACAATTCAGAGGTCTCTGATTTCCCTTTCACTGCAAGATCCTTGTCGACCTAACACTACTTGAATTCGTAGGCTGTGATTTCCTGTTGTTTTGTATCTGAAACATCGTAAGATTCCTGTGAACTAGAGATGGTTATTTCCAGAAATGCCCTGTGGATCTCCCAGCGGAGGCAAGAGAGTGTTGGCATTGAGTGATGAAGTTTGGAAACCCAAGCTTAGGTTACTAGACCTGTTTCTGGAAGTGTAGGGCCGCCCATATGGAATGGAGACGTGAGGGACCCCTAACAACACGGTGGATTTGGAACCCTAGAACCGTGGTCACAACTCCCTTTTCCTAGTTTTGCTTCATATTTCATAAACCCTCTCGTCCTGAAACAGGTGTCCACCACCACGTGGCGTTGAAATATTTCTGGGCTCTTCCACAACTAGATTTGTGAAATGTCTCTGATCTTAGATGTCCCTTAGCTGGACTAGTTAACTTCCAGAACGTACACACAGCGCATGGCTTAATGGGAATTTCTAGAGTCTCTTTACATAGGAAAGAGAACTGCATTGAGAAAAAGGGTAAACAGTTCCCCATCTTATGTTTGTAAAACAGTTTGAAAAGCTGTGATGAAACAGGCCATTAAGGTTGCCAGAAAACTATGGCACCAATAGAATCTGGAAAATTTTTTAGCCTTTGAATGGATTTGGCACTCCCAGATTCAAACTGCCAATCAGAAAGACCCTATGATTCAGAGCTATAATAGTAATGTCAATAACACCACCATGAAATTGTGTAATGTTAATGTGTCTAAAGTAAACCACACAAGTAGTCTTAATTCAGAAAGCAAGATTTAAGAGTTTTGTGGGATGTTTGTCGTTGTTGTTTGAAACACCATTAAAAAAATACATATTAATTACCATTCTGATAGGATTTAGAAGTGAAGCTAACAGTAGCTTCTGTTTGATAAAGTTCAGAATATTTGCTTTTTAATTTAATCTTCATTTCCTAACTGAAGTCCAGCTTCCAACAAGAGATCTTTTTTATTAGCTTTACCCATTCGTCGTCCCATTTTCAGGCTAGCTGGCATGAGCTTATAGTAGTACCTATACTGATAAGAAAATACAGTAGTCAAGTGAAACTGTTTTGTCTCCAGGTCAAGTTCATTTGTGAAGGACAGAATGAATCTGATTTTCACCTACATCCTTGAGATCCTTCCATGGCGCTGAAAGATTATTTGCATGATTTACACGGTAGCGCTTGCATCCCCAGCTTCATTTCATGACATTTCTTTTTACCTAGGAGATGAACTGCCGGAGGGGGCCACTGACAGCCTGGACAGGGACGGCACCTCTCTCAGCTCCACTTATCCACTCCTTGCTCCTAGAGATTAGGGCTGAGTAAAATGTGCCTCCTTCCTGGAGACCCCTATGTGCAGAGCCCGGCCCAATGCGAGCATTGGAGGTGCCCATAGCCCTCTTCTGCCAGTCGTCCTCGCAGCGCTAGCGGTGCCAGGTTGGTTGGGAGCTTGCCCTGCGCCCTGGCCGGGCAGCCAAGTTCACACCAGATGACCTTTGCCTGCCTCTTTCACTTTTTCTTGCCTCCTTCATCTTCCCTTCTTCACTTGCCCTCACGTTCTTCCTTGGACCCCCTCGTCAACGTTGTGTGGCTTGCTTTTAACTCTCCTGTGTCAGAGAGTGAATTGGATTGGGTTTTCTTTTTAGAAGCCCAACTTCTGCTTTCCGAAAAGGAGGGGGAATTCTTAAATCCACTTCCCTGTTTTCCGAAGGAATCGCCAAACTTTCCCAAAGTGCTCCTGTTACTTATTCCACATGCTCAACAGCAATATATGAAGGTTTGATAGTCTACATCACCATCAACATTTGATATTGTCAGTCTTTTTTAATGCCAGCCATTATAGTGTATGAAGTGATATCTCATTGTGATTTTAGTTTTTCATATCTCTAGTAACCATTAGCCCATTTTAAACCAGGGATGCTTGTTTCATAATTGACTTCAAATGTCTTTATGTGTTCTGGATACAAGTCCTTTCTCAGATACTTTATACAAATATTTTCACCCAGGTTGTGAAATGCCCTTGAAAACAAAACCAAAATAGCTTTATTAAGATACGATGGACCCACAATTAACAGAACATATTTAAAATGAACAATTTAAAGTGATGAATTTTGACACACACCTGTGAAAACATCTCTAAAATAAAAAATGAACATATCCACTCCTCCTACCCCCATTTCCTCATGTAAAGTTAATTCCTTCCTCTTCCTTTCATTAGGCAGTGTTGTCAGTTCCCCAGCAAACACTAATCTGCTGTCACAATAAATTATTTTTGTTTTCTAGAATTTTAAACAAATGAAGTCATGCAGTAACACCATCTTCTTTCATTCAACATAACTTTTGAGAGATTCATTCAGCCTTGTGTTTGATCCCCAGCACCAAAAAAAAAAAAATATCATTTTATTGTATGCGTCAATAACGTATTAGCTTTACATGCTGAAGCCTTTCATTGTGTGGATGTATCAAATAAATGTTGATGTATCTCTCCACTGTTTGTGGACAGTGGAATTGTTTCCAGTGTTTAACTATTACAAATAAAGGTGCCATGAACATCTTGGTAAAATCTTGGCACACATATTTGCTTTCATTTACTTTGTATAGCATTTGGGTAACTGTCCAGTGAAATAGTTGGAATTATATGGTAGATGTGTTCACCTTTTTAAAAAACTGCTGCTCAAAGTTTGACCATTTTATATTACCACCAGAAGTGTATGAGAATTTGAATTGTTCTATATCCTTGTGAACACTTGATATGACCGATTTTTAAAATTTTAGCAAGTTGAATAGGCACATAGTGGTATTTCATTGTGATTTTAAGCAACTTTCTCTATTGAACAATGATGCTGCATCTTTTCATGTACTTAGTAACTATTTCTACATCTTTGGTGAAGTGTTCAAAATTTACCCTCTTCACTGGGTCTAAGTTTTTTTTTTTTTTTTTTTTAAGCTTTATGTTTTCATTTAGACACATGGTGCATTTTATGGATTTTTGTTTGGTTGGTTTTTGAGATTGGATTTTACTGTGTTATCCAGGCTGATCTCAAACTCATGGGCTAAGCATTCCTCTGCCTCCACCTTCCAAGTAGTTAGGATTACAGGCATGTGCCACTGCACCTTGCAAAGGTACATTTAAAATGAGTTTTTGTATATTGTGTTGGTATGGATTAAAGTTCATATTTTGGTATTGGGAACTCCAATTTTTCAGCACTAATTATTGTATAGACTATACTTAGCCACTGAAATTTGTAATTGTACTTTGAAAAGAAATCAAGTGACCACATGTTGTTTTGTTTGGGTATACTGGGGATTAAACCCAGAGGTGCTCTTCTGAGCTACATCCCCAACCCCTTTTATTTTTTGAGACAGGGTCCTGGTAAGTTTCTGAGGCTGGCCTCAAACTTGTGATCCTCCTACCTCAGCCTCCCTAGTACCTGGTTACCACATTCAGCACCAGATTGTCTTTATGTGGTTTTATGTTTTGAAGTCAAGTAGTATGAGGCCTGCAATTTTCTTCTTTTAAAATTGTATTAACTATTTTAAAGCCTTTGCATCCCCATATAGACTTATGCTTATAAAACTTAAAAAAAAATGAAATTTTGACCAGGATCTATAAGTCAATTTGGGGAGAATTGACAATTCAGTAATTGTCTTTAGTTCAATGAACATGTTATTTCTCTCCATTTCAGTGTTTTCTTTTCTCTTTTTTCAGGTTGTGGGAACCACACCCAGGGCCTCTGGCATGCTAGGCAACTGAGCCATATTCCCAGTGCTCTAATACTCTTAATACCTTTTTTTTCCTTTTCTTTTCTTTAAGGATATATTGAATCCCAGTGACTTGGGAGGCTGAGACAGGAGGATCACAAGTTCAAGGCTGACCTCAGCAACTTAGTGAGGCTCTAAGCCTGAAACCCATTCTCAAAATAAAAAATGAAAAATGGCTGGAGACATAGCTTAATGGTGAAATGCCACCGGGACCAATCCCTAGTTTAAAAAACAAAACCTAGCATTTTTTAACTTAATTATGTCTTCTACAAGTAAAAAATATTTTACTTTCTTCATTGATGCTTATATTTATTTATTTATTTTCTTATTGGACTGGGTAGGGCATCCAGGGACAAAATTGTGTCAGAAGTGAAAGAGCACCTATTCTTGTTTTCCTCCCAATTTTAGGAGTAAAATAGTCTTCACCAGTATGACGGTAGCTCTTAGGCTTTTATAGATAACCCGTTCATTTCTAAATTGTTCAAAATTTGTCATGAATGGGTGTTGAATTTTGCCAAATAATTTTTCCCGTATCCAGAAAATCATTTTTTCCTTTCAGGAAAAATTAATGTTAATGTGATGAATCACAATGATTTTCAATTGTTAAAAACCAGCTTTTCACTCCTGGGATTAATCCTATTTGAAAATGATTTGTCCTGTCAATATATTGTTAGCTAAAACTTGTTAATATTTTTCTTAAAACAATTATTCTGTCTTTATTCATATTTACTGATTTATACTTTTCTTATAAAATTTACTTTGAATATAAGTGTAGTGCTGCTGTTCTCATAAAAAAGGTTGGGCCAAACTATTTTTATTCCCTTGAAAAGACTATGTAAAGTTGATATTATTTCTTCCACATTTGATGTTTCACAAATGAAGCCATTTGGGCCTGGATTTTTGTGATGAGGTTTTTAGCTACAAATTCTGTTTCCTTCATTTATGTAAGGCTAACATTTTCTATTTCTTTTGAAAACAGACTTATTAAAATATAATTCACATATTAAACAACTCACCCATTATGGCTGAATAATATTACATTGTATGGGTATGACACATTTTATTTATCCATCAGTTTGACTTTTGGGTCATTTCCACAGTAGCTATTATGAATTACACTGTGATGAACATTCAGATATGCTTTTGTGTGTAGGTATGTCTTCCATTTCTCTGGCATATATACTGAGGAGTGAAATTTTTGTATCCTATCTCACTATTTAACCTTTTGCAGAACTGTCAGACATTCTTGAGTTTAGTAATTATTTCATCTAAGTTGTTAAATTTAATGGATGAGTTGTTTGTAATATTCTTTTATTAATCTTTTATTTTAAGTTCTATAGTGAGTCTCTTCTTTCATTCTAATCTTGGTAATCTGTGTGTGCCATTGCACTAAGCCTTTCTTAGTTTCTTAAAATTTAAACTTAGGTCCTTGATTCAAGATCTTCTTTTTACATGCATACATCCAATATACATTATCCTTCAAACACTTTTACAACTGCATCCTGCAGCTTTTGATATACTTTTAATTTTCCTTGTTTAATATTTTCTAATTTCTGGTGACTTCTTAAGACATGAGTTATTTAAAAGTATGTTTAATTTCTAAATATTTATATAGAGATATTGCAGATATAGTATCAACCTTTGTAAATGTATTGTGGCTTACATTATGGCCCATGATTTGGTCTAATTGGTCAACGCTTAAAAAATAAAAGGATTTAATTGAGGTATGATTGACTTACAAAAAGCTGTACACACATTACAGAACTTGAAGAATTTGGAGAAAGTACATATCTATGAAGCCACCACCACAATGTCATAATATATCCACCATTTCCTAGTTTTTTTCTGTCTTCAGGAACACTTACAAAAGGTTACCCTCTTAGCAAACTTTAATATTTATCTTGCAGTACTGGGGACTGAATCCAAGACCTTGAACATGCTGAACAAGTGCTCTATCACTCAGCTACACCCCCAAAATCTTAGCAAATTTATAAGTATATAATACAAGGCTCTTAGTAGAGTGTAAAATGGCACCAATCACAGTGCCTAATACAGTATAAGGTCTCAAGTGTGATTGTAAATAATGAATCCAACACGAAGCAGTGTAGTTAGGCCTGGCAGGATAAAAAATATCCTAAAACTGTCATCATTAAGCAAAAGCAAAGCAGTATTTTTGTAAACTGCCTGTTTATTATTTTTTCCTTAATCATATTTCCATTATCAATTATCTCATTGATTTTGGGGGGTGGGGGGGGCATGAGTTCTTAAACCCTGAGTTACAAAAACATCATTTTCTCCAGTGCTGGGGATCAAGCCCAGGACCTCCCACATGTACCAAAAAAAAAATAATAATTTTTTTTTTTTTTTTTGCACTCAACCACTGGGCCACACTCCTAGCCCTATTTTATACTTTATTTAGAGGCAGGATTTCACTGTTGCTTGGCGCCTAGACTTTGCTGAGGCTGGCTTTGAACTTGTGATCTTCCTGCCTCAGTCTCCCGTGCAACTGGGATAACAGGTGTGTGCCACTGTGCCCAGCTAAAACTTTCATTCTTAATACATAGTTTGTAGTTCTATTAAATCTGATTTTTATTACAGCCCAACTATAAAGCTTTACAAATTAATGATTAATATTTTCCCCCTAGTATTTGATGTTTGATCAATTACCTTGGTCCTAAATTGTTTTTGCCATTGTTAACTAGTTACCTCACACCAGTTATAAGACACTTCTTTGCTATGGCCTTATGATATCTCAATGGAAATATTTTACTCAACAACATTTCTCGTGACAGTGATCTAAACTTAATTATCAGTTTCCTGGTTGAGTATGCCTGTTAGAATTGTGTTAAATTTCAATGTTTTGCAGACATTTTATAGACAATTTATACCCTTTATATCCATGAATAAGACATCTCTTCCATTAACTCATTCAGTACATCTTCCTTTTTAAGTACCAAAGAAACTTTGTGCTTTGTGAAAGCTGTTTTTACTGAGTTATTTCCTTTGTGATCAGTGTGAATGGGTGTTTTCCAGTTTCTAATTGGTAGAAAGTTCCTGATATTTCCGTTAAGCTTTATTAAATTCATTTGGTTGGCAATGAATGTTGTTGTGTAAAAAAAAAAAGACACCCCTTCACTCTTAAAACTCAAGCAAACAAGGAATTATAGCACATGCCTGTAATCCCAGCAATTTGGGAAGCTGAGAAACGATTACTAGTTCAAAGATAGCTTCAGCAACTTATAAAGACCCTGTTTCAAAATAAAATATAAAAGGGCGTGGGGATGTAGTTCAGTGGTAAAATTCAACCCCCAGTACCAAAACAAAAACCAACAACAAATTCAGACTGTCTTGTAACCTGTCAGAGGAAACAAATTGGGAAAAAAAAAATGCAAAAAGAATGACATTGTTAACTATTGTTTGTATTGACTCAAAATTGTTTTCTCCAAAACTCTGTAAAAAATATGCCTTCCATCTCAACAGTCTCTCATGACAATTGAAAAATAAATGTTTACTACCATTCTACTAGGCAATACCAGGGCAGGTTCATACACCCTTTTTTTTTTTATTTCATGTCAGTGCCTGATGCTTGTGGGATCCTGTAAGTCTGGATACTAACCCTGTAAATTACAAGCACTTAAAAACAAAACAAAACAACAACAAAAAACTTGAGGACCTGTGATATTCTAGGACACTAATTTGTTCCCGAGTACATATTATAGGCAGAATTTTGACTTGGAGACACTAGATAATTTTATGTAAACCAAGATTAGGGGGAAAAAGTGGTGGGGGATGGAGAGGCTAGTAAGTGCTGAATAGTTGGGGAAGTTACACTTGAATTCAAGTGTTTAAACTATCACATAGTAAATAAGACAAAGTATGATGTCACTTGCACAGGCAAATATAATCAGGAGCCATACAACTCAGCTTATATGTAAAATAAATAAAAGAAAGGAATTCCTAGAACTGGAGGAGAAGTCTGTGTTAATCAGAAACCAAAATGAAGGAAAGACCTAATGAGGCATTTGGATCCTGAGATAAAGTGTCAAATTATGTAGGAAATCAATCCTAATTTGTCTGACATGATCTCAAGCTAAATCACCAGATTTAAGCTAATCTGTGATCATTAAGTCTTTTTGTTTATACTTGAACCAATGGTAAGAGAAAAACCTATCAATGTAGGGAATATTTCTTTCCGTCAAGTTCTTTTCAAAGTTAAAAGTAAAATCAAGACCTTTGAGGGAACTGATTTTCACTTTAGTAAAGGAAGGCTGTCACATGAATTCTACTTAAAATAGAATTTTACTTACCTTAAAAGAGGCCAAGTACTGCCTTGCTAACTGTAGACCCAGAATTTAGAAGAACAGGTGCCCAGAAAATTTGTGGAAATAATACATATACAGAATCTTGACAGTTTTACTATGCTTTAGGGTAGACTGCCAGTGATAAAATTCAAGATGTTTAAATCTTCAGAGCACTTTTGATATTGTCAATGACTTTTCAAAGATGAGCTAACTACATGAGGTTCAGAAATTTGGCCAAAGGAAAAAAATCTGTTAATCAGATAACCTGTTGACTCTACAGCCATTTAACACATCCTTAATTTCCACTTAAATCCCTTATGAGTTCAGATGTCTTGAATTTTATTTTTTTAGTACCAGGGATTGAACTCAGGGGCACGCGACCACTGAGCTACATCCCCAGCCCTATTTTGTATTTTATTTAGAGGTTGCTTAGCACCTCACTGTTGCTAAGGCTGGCTTTGAACTCACGATCCTCCTATCAGCCTCCTAAGCCACTTGGATTACAGGTGCACACCACCGCGCCTGGCAGATGTCTTGAATTTTTGTGGACTCTAAATAAATGTTTTGTGGACAGTAGGATATCTTCCTAAATGTTGGATTTAAGCTTCCATCACAAATGTGGTATTTTTTTTTTATTAGTTGTTGATGGACCTTTATTTATATGTGGTGCTGAGAACTGAACCCAGTGCCTCACACATGCTAGGCAAGTGCTCTACCACTGAGCCACAACCCCAACCCCAAATGTGGTTATTTTTATATTAATTTGTAATGGAAACTTAAATCCAACACTTAACATAATGAGGAGCTGAGGCTCAACAGCTAGGTGACTGCACCATTTCGTAAGTGGCTTGTCTAGCCCTTGTCAAACCTTCAAGATGCAGCAGCCCTGGCTGACAGCTCCTTTGCAAACCCGAAGAAATCCCAAGCCGAACTAGCCAGGTAAATCGCACCTAGATCCTTGGAAACTGTGGGAGACAGTGTTTATTATTTTAAGCTGCTTAATTTTATGTTATAAATAAGGCACACTGGGCAAAGATAGCCCATTGTTTCCTGAATGGAATAAGTAAAATTAAATTACCAGTCTTGACTGAAATATTAAGTATTATTAAGTTCATGCTGTTAAAAATAAAATTTTCAATTCATATTTGTTTGATATCAGGAAAAGAATCCAATTCCTAAATTCCCTAATTGATTCTTAAGTGCAAAACTATATTTAAAAAAGAAAAAATCTGAATGTACATATCTATAGATATACACACTATTGATTATATTGCAGCCTAAGTGCCATGTATTTTTTAAAAATTAGATTCAAAACAGTAGCAGGCCAGCTCCTTGGATATTTTTTCTCCGATAGGATTAAACTATAGATATTTAAAGTGTTTCTAGTGAGTTCCAAAAGGTCTGAATTAGGATGCTTTGGTTACACCTGAGCTATTGTAATGAGTTTTAAATTAGACTTAAAAGAAATATGAAGTAAATAGTGTGGGCAACAGTATACAATGACTATATACAGTTGCCAACTGCAGAATTCAGCAAAATGCAGGGTATTCTTTGACACTTATGGACATCACAGATCACTACCAGAACATCACATAAGTTTATTTCAGATGTAACAGCAATGTTAAAATTGACAAGTTTAATTCTTAACTGCACCAAGTAAACTTAGCCATTAAAGTAATTTTAAAGTTTTCCCTCCAAAAACTGAGGGAGCTTTTCTTTTCCACCACCACACACCAGTTTCCTAATAATCTCTTTTTGAAAGATTTTCAATTGATGAGTAAACTTTGAAGATATTTCAGAACTCCTTTCCTCAAATGAACACTAATCTGGACAAATTATACATTGCATAGATTTCTCTACAGATTCTTTTCTTTAGAACCTAAATGCAAATTCCATACAGTATAAATTTAACCTACTTGCCCCACTGTAAAAACTATCTGTCCTGAAAAATATGATGGATATATCCTGTGATCTTCCAGTTAACAGAATTACTGTTTTACCTCAAAGATTATTTTTTATCATATATCAAAATAATCAACTCAATATGGGGTATTACTGACTCATAGGCATACAAACTAGTGCCCAACTTCTACTTCTTCCAAATCTTCTTCTTGTATAAGTGGATGGAATTATTTAACACAAGTTTGATGTAGGATAGTTAACCCTTTACAAACACTCAGAATTTAGGTTAAATCTTTTAACTAGTGTGGAAAAAGAAACTAAATGACAGAAAGCCTACAAACTCAATTCAAACTTTAATATTTTTCCCTCTTTAAATAACAAGTACTTAATTGTCGTGAGGCAGCTATTCGGTTTTTGATAACCACATATAGGGATACATTCATAGGACTGCTTAGAAAGTCCAGGTGAAATGGATATAGAAATAGAGGCAGTGTCATCTCAGAAAACTCAGTTATATATCAAAATCTATTTTGATATCTGGAAGTTTACAAAAAGGCTGAATTCTTCACACTAATTACACTTCCTGTAACTCAAGCACTCTTTTCTTGTCAAGAGCAAGCTGAATCTTATCCACAAAGGTAAAGGTGCTTAATGCTAAACTTTTCTTCTAAGCCTACATTTGGATTGTTTAAGGAATTGATAATGAAGAAAACAGTGTGGTCTTTCTACATTTTTACTAATTTAAGATTAGAACACTAAAAATTCATTCACCAGCCATCTTCCTTTCTTATATTTTTCTTGGCACTCAAGACTATGGAAGTCTATTTTACTTTGTACTCTCACACTTACAAATAAAAACTTAAGGATATAAAGTGTGTACATTCTATAAAATAATATTGTCATTTAATCTATTTGGAGATGAGACTTTTATACCAGAATTTTACATGAGGATCAATATTACGAATCAAACTTCCTTAAAGTCAAATGACAGAAAACTCAAGCCCTGTGCATTGTTTGTAAAGTCTAATGAGAGCATTTCTTGAACCATCACTACTGACAAACCAAAAAATTCTAAATGTTGAAGATGGGGCAATGGGAGTAAAACACAAGTATTCCAGATGTCTCTCATAAAGTTATCAACCTGTTAAAGCCACTCTCTACGTGTCAGAAAATGTTCTGACAAAAACCAGTCTGTCAGTAGAGGAGGTCACAGTGATATCTGCATTATTAACACTTTATGCTTCTATCTTTCTTAGAAGCAATTTGTTTAACAATTCCCCTTATCCCAAATCCTTAAACTCAATATTGTAGGCACAGAGTATAAGCAAATCTGGGATGTTCTCCAACAGATAAGCAATAACGTAGCTATGTTATTCTCAAAAATACTGTTTAGATATTTTTTCCTATACAATCAAATGTTCAGTGGCCACACTTTCAATTAACAACCTGCATTAGTTGACATTAAATGCATTTATTGTGCCACAGTCCATCTAGGCTTCCTTTTAGGTATTTTTTTTTAATATGTTTACGAGAAAATACCTGCTTTAGGTTGACTTAGGGATACTGACCTATAAGGACATCAACTCCACTTTTAAGGTTAGACTATTATTGGGTTTGCTGAAGGAAAAAGGTTGGGGGAAAAAAAAAGATCACAACAAAGCTCTTTAGGTCAGTTAAAGGCCATATCTCTAGCTGGGAGAATAAAAAAAGTTTTTTTCACCAGCTCATACTCTAAAAATTAATGACTCTAATATCAATAGCAAAGAAAAACAAATCTTCTAATAACCAGCTCACTCATTAGCAAAAAAGCAGTTTAACTCAAATGCTTTCAGACCAAAATATAACACAACCTACCCAAACTGCCTCATCCATCAGTCGGGGAAAAAATTGCTTTAAAAACCTAAATAAACTTGATATTTCTTACGAAGATAAAAATGGTCCAACTTCTGAGAAAGTGCTCAGAAGGACTAAAGGTGGAGTGAAGGCAATGTCTAGGGATTAACATCCCACAAATAGTTTTTAAGAACCTAGAGTACCACAAACACACTAAACTTGTCTATGAATTACAGAACAAGATATTGCTGCTGCTTCTTTTTATCTTTAGAAATAAACAATATCTGTAGGCTCTGCCCTTCAATGTGAAAGCAGGAAATAAGGAAAAAAATAAAATTGAAATCATCTGACACCCAAATTTTGGGACCATACATTTTAACTGTGAAACTAAACAGATCTACCTTCTCCTTCTTTCAAGACAACCACCGTACACACACACACCAAAAAAAAAAAAAAAAAGAGAGAGAGAGAAAAAGAAAAACTAAAACAATCCAAACATGATTATTTTTAAAAGTCCTTGAAAGTATTAAAACTTCTAGAGGAAGAAAAGAAATGAGGAAAAAAAGGAACAAGTAGGGAGGAAAACTTAGGAAAGGCGGGGGACAGGGGCAGGGAATCAATGGGCCTCTCTTTTATTTGGCGACAAGCAAGTGCAAGAAAGTTCATTTGTAATTTGTTCAGTTGTCTGTTTTCTGCGCATCTGCATTCTGACCAGAAGGGACTTTGAGGTTTTTCTGAAGCACATGAGCATCTGCAGGCTCTATCCTCTTATAGTAGTTCTTCTTTGTCTCAATAATCTCAAAGCCAAACTTCCTGTAGAAGTCAATTGCTGACTCATTGCTGATCTGAACGTGCCTGAGATATAAAAGGTTATAAAGAAAGTAAATTAAAGTTTCATCAGCTTTTAAGTGTTCTCCACACAGAGCTTCAACTTTGAATTAGAATGTTATTTTTTTTGTACATTTTCTTTACAATCACAATCAACTAATACTATCAATTACCACTAATTGATGATTTTTTATTTTTAACTGAATTATTCCATTCGAAAGACGTGGCTAGGAGAAGAAGGCTCAGTAAGAATATTTAGTCTTACAGTTAACAAAGGGAAAACTAGCCCTACTTTTGCCAGTAAGCGGGGGAAAAAAAAGATTCCTGTAATTAAACATGGATTAAATAGCTGGGTGTGGTGGTACACAACTATAATCCCAGCTATTCCAGAGGCTGACGCAGGAAGATCAGAAGTTCAAGTGGAATCTCAGCAACTTAATGAGACCCTCAGTAACTTAGTGACATGCTGTCTCAAAATAAATAAAAAAGAACTGGAGATGTAGCTCAGTGGTAAAGTGTTCCTGGTTTCAATCTCCAATACAAAAAAGAAACTAAAGGTGGGGTGAGGTTTAGATAACCGTAGGCAGGAATCAGAGGCCATACAGACAAAAGCAGAAAAATAATGATAAAAAACTTTAAAACTAGGGTCTCAAATCTGTTGTCTTCCTTTGAAATGAAAGACACATGTTGAATTGGGGGGGGGGGGGTATTAGGGCCTAGCTAAGTGCTGAGGTTGGTCTTGCAATCCTCCTGCCTTGGCTTCCCAAATTTTCTAGGATTACAGATGTGTGCCACTGCTCCCAGCAAAAACAACATCAACAACAAAAAAATAAGAAATTAGAGCTTTCTCAATTACTCTTCAAAATAATACCATATTATTTAATATCTGCCATCACCAAACTGAATTACAATTACAAACATCCAGTAATAATCTTAGTCTTGTTCTTAATCTGCAGCCTTTTAAGAGTCAAATATAACCTCAGAGAATTACCTCTGATTTTGATTTTTTTAAATTGTAGTATAAATGGGCATATCACTGATAACCTTGAATGAATTGGAACAAACAGCAAGGCATGAAAAAAATAATATTAATAATATGAATGGTTTTAAATCTGAATGAATTTTAATCCTGACTTCATTTATATGACTTTGTAGTTCCCATCCCAATATAATGTAGCAATGTGTCTCAGATTCTTTATTTATTACTAAAACAAACCAAATAAACATTGTAACAAGTAGTCCAGTGCAGTGATACACTGCTAGCCTGTAATCCCAGCATTTTGGGAGGCTGAGGCAGGAGGATCACAAGTTCAAAGCCAATTTTAGCAATTTGACAAAGCCCTAAGCAGCTCAGCAAGATCCTATCTCAAAAAAAAAAAAAAAAAAAAAAAAAAAAAAAGGACTAGGGATAAATAAATAACAACAACAACAAAGCATTGTTACAACTACAGCAGGCCCCATCACATTCCGGGGTTCTGCTTCTACAGATTAACATATTAGGAAAGAAAATTGCATCTGAATGAACAGGTACACTGTATTTTCCCTTGTCATTCCCTAAACAATACAGTACAATAATAAATGTACACAGCACTTACATTATATTAAATATTATAAGTAATCTAATTGGATTTCATACAGGAGGATATCTGTCTTACGTAAATACGCTGCTATTTTATACAGAGGCTTGAATCACTCATATTTTGGTATCTATGAGGGGGACCAGGGGAGTGGGTCCTAGAAGCAATGTTATACAGGTACTGTGCAACAATCATTCCATGGTATTTTTTTAAGATACAGTAAGTGATCAGATTTTAAAATTTCTAGTAATGATTTTTATTGACATTTAAACTTTTGAGATAAGAACATTAAATATTATTTTACTTACAGATAGATGTTGTCAAAAGTGCCATCTTTTTCACAGATGTTTAGGACGTGATTTAGCATTTTAGTTCCTGTTAATAATACAAACAACAAATAAGTAACCTTAAAAGGCAACCTTTAAATTCTATACCTATTTGCCAACTGAACTACTTATTGGGACCTAATAAAATTTAAGAGGTAACATTAGACACTAAGAGATAAATATAGAGCAATTTTTTATACAAATATTTACAGATAGATATTTTTTTAAGTGGGGGGAAAATTAGACAAATCTATGGAGGGTTTTTCAATTGAATTATATTAGTAAACACTAGTTATTTTCACTTTATTTTATAAAATAAATAAACTGACTTATTATATCAAAAAGATTTAACAAGGTACTTAGGCTTTGAAGGAAGGAGGGAAAGTGCGAGGGAGGAAGGAAGAAGGAAAGAAACAATGAATTACCTATTCCTAGCCTTCTGTAAGGTGCAAGACATCCTAGTGTCATGATGTAAAGTCTCTTCTGATTCTGTGAATGATCCACCCTGCAGCATACTGCACCTACAGCAATATCATTGAAATAGGCTGCCATAGAAAATATAAAGACATAAAGTTCAATAGACAAAACAACACATTTAATCATTTTTTCTAAGAGACTAAGTTGTTATTATAAGCATTAAATTTTAATTAGCTATCCTATGAAAATCAATGGCTTCAAAAACCTCTTACATTGTCTCAGAAGGCTGTAAAGCTAAATCATTGGTAACATACAGGCAAACACTAAGTAATAAAGAATATTTAGTGATTCCATTTAAAATTCAAATATTCTATATTTTTTTTGAGAACCTGAAACACTCCATTAACCTCACTTGTAAAATAAAAAGACAAATTAGTTAAGCCTTCTTGCTCTAATAGTAACGGGTGAAGTTCAAAACTACAAATTTTAAAACAGAAATAAAGAAAAAAGCCATATCTTACCAAGTTTTGCTAGCTCGCCAACCTCCAGCACATCCTTGTAGAACTTGTCATTGTAGCTGACTGGAAAAATGACCTGGTTCAATCTCTTCAACTGTTTAATATTGTGTGGTGTTACATCTCCCAACTCGATCCGGCTACTGGAACAAACCAATATGTACTCAATAAAATATAATTAGCTTCTCATTTATAAAGATAACATATTAAATGGGTATCAAGTTTTTTTTCATGATCGACAAATCCAACATTTTCATAATGACTTCATATCCCTAAAACTATTACCATTTAAGCAAATATGGCCAGATATTCAATACCAATTTTGCTAGTAACTTTCATACAAGGGACAAATATAGTATGCAACTATTAAGAAAGCCAGAATAATATCTTACAATGAATGGGAAAGATTTCCCTGTAGTTTACTATTCAAAAAATTAGATACAACTATTGATCAAAAAGAATGACACCTAATATTAGCAAGAGAAGTAGCAAATGGTATTCTTAAACCTTGCAGATGGTAAATATACAGTATCTCTTGAGAAAAAATCTAGTACAATGTACTGAAATAAGTAATCCTACTTCTAACATTTATCCCAAGAAAATAACTTGTGTAATAATTATGTGCCTATTAATTGAGAATAGTGGCCCTCCTGGGGCCACCTACTTCAAAGTCACAGTGGTGGTACTCAAAATTCACGTTCTTGGACATCCCACCCCACCTTTCAGGACCAGAATCTCTGGAAACAGAATCTATATTTTGAAAAACACAAGTTTGAAAAAAATTTTTTTTTATTTATTTATTTTTTTATTGGTTGTTCAAAACATTACAAAGCTCTTGACATATCATATTTCATACATTTGATTCAAGTGGGTTATGAACTCCCATTAAGTTTGAAAATTATCTATCAAGAATTGGGTCCATTTTTGCCCATCCCCGCCAGAGTTCTGTTTCTATTCTTCACACATGAATAAATCCTACTTCTGTCACTCTTGGGGGGAAAAAATTTCTACAAAAACTATGTAATCAAAAGAACTGATTCCATGGAAAAAGGGATTAAAACTAAAAAGTTTCATACAGTAACCAAGTTATTTTGCCTATAAAGCTGTTAGTTTCAGATTATAAAGGCATTCGAATCTAACAGCAATGAATTGCAAACAAGTATGCTTATTAATCATTTGTATCACATTTGGGGTGTGTTGGGCAAATGACTCAACAAGAATGTCTACATTCTACCATACTTAGAATAGTAAAAAGGAAAAAGCAAAGATAAAAAAGTGTTTACTGATAATGAGACTGATTAAAGTAAAGCATACTATATCCAAATTTCTGGCACAGAAATATGTTGTAATATAATTTTGTGGAGAAAAAAGTATATTCCACCTATATATTCAATACTCCAACTTTTGTTCATATCTACAGAAAAATATCTGAAAAGGATATTTTTAAATATATAGCACAAACTATAGGCAATTTTCTGGTCATACAAATAAATATGGTATTCTCCAAAGTATCTGACAACTGCATTGAATTCCCTGTGTAAGATTCATGTCTTCTTTAAGTAGGTTTCACCTCATTCATAATAACTTCTCCTCTTCATTGAAGCGTAGCTTGTTTTTTTCTTTTTTAAAACTGAAGTAAATTAGGGCTGGGGTTATGGCTCAGTGGTAGAGCGCTTGTCTAGCACATACAAGGCCCTAGGTTCAATCCTTAGCACCACATTAAAAAAAAAAACTGAAGTAAATTACATCTTGTACCAAACCCTTTCTTAACTGAAATCCACTGGGCTTACTGCCTTGCTGTCTACCACTCTTATTTTAAATATTCTGCAGATACTGGTATCATGTAAAATATAGGATTCCATTAAATAAGGAGATCACATCTTACCTATACCATCTTCTCTTTTAACTTCCCATAGTGCCACAAATTGGGTACAGTAATTTATTTTACATACAATATAGCTTCTCTTGATTATATTCAGAGATATCACTTAAACTACTCCACTGCATTTTCTTAAAATAAAAGTCTTAGCCTCTGTATTTTAAAAGTGACTGAAAAATACATTAAGTTTAAATTTAAACAATAATGAGTAACTAAAGAACTTAGGAACTCAAGCTTCTAAATGATAAGTGAAAAGACTATAGTTTTTAAAATTTGAAGAATGACCTCTTGGCAGTTACCAGGCTTCAAGTATATTTATAATTTTCTGAAGGATAATAAGTACTAAAAAAAAATTTTTTTTTCATTAGGCTTGGCAGATCAAGCCTATATTGAAGAAACAAAACTGAATCATTACAGTATAGCAGCTTAATCTTTCCTTGCTTAATTTTTTACAAGTCTTGTTTTTTTTTTTTTAGGTGCATAATCATAGAAATGACTTAGGAAGTGAAACTATTCTGAGGAACAAGACCAGAAATAGTTTGACATAGTCTCTCAGTATTTTTCTATATGCAAACATGTACTGTTTGGTAGCTGTCTGAAAAATTAATTAGATTCTTACTAGATGGTCAGAATATACTAGAAACAATTTCAAAGTGGTGACTAAAGGTACAACTGTCAGCAAAATTTAGCTTCAAATATAGTTTATTTTCATTAACATGATATGTCTAATTGAAATGGAATACTTCTGTAATCCTGATCACTTAGCTCCAAAATTATTTTAAGATGTGGATATTCTAAATATATCAGTAATATAATATCAACCTATAATTTAGCAAAGAACATGTGCAGTATTAAAGGCATAGGATAATTTCAACATAAGGGATATGTAGAAATGTCAAGAAAATGAGAATATCCCATGACTATAACAACCAAAAAGTAGAAGAGCTCCCAAAGTTTTTTGAAGTCCCAAATCTCTATTAGAAAATTAATATAAAAACACAGTTTCTAAGAACTCAGTGAATTTAAACTTTTCTTGAGTTCTTATTGTGGGAAGAGGTAAGATGTACAGTCTAAGGAGAAGGTAAAACATTAACAAAATAGTAATGGTGTATTTCCAAAATTGTAACCTGTTCGGTAAGGCTAAAATATAAATTACTCCATGGGTACATTAAGAAAGCTGATGTTGAAACAATTCTACAAGGGCCCTGCACATATTTTCTTGGTGATTTTATTCATTCCTATGACTTTAATGCTGCCTACTTCCAAATTTGTATGTAGCCTAAACTTCATTCAGAATTCCAAAATCTGATTCGAAACAACTCTAGTAACACTCCCCGCAAGTACATATACTGGAAACTAAAAATACGGACCCTTCCCCCAAAATGTCTAACCTGCAGTTTTCCCCATTTTTGTTGGTGGCCTCTTCATCCTTGGCTGTGTACTGCCCTTGCCTTCTTTTAGTCTTTGTCCAAATAACATCTCAAGAAAGCTTACTTCAACACAAATGGTTTTCTTATAATCTTGACAGGCTTTCTTTGTTTTAAATAAAGATATATATTTGTTAAATATATTTATTAATATACATTATATAAAATATATTTATTAAATTATATTTAGTTGAAGTTGGACACAATATCTTTATTTTATTTATTTATTTTTTATGTGGTGCTGAGGATTGAACCCAAGGCCTTGCATGTGCTAGGTGAGAGCTCTACTGCCAAGTCACAACCCCCGTCCTTGACAGGCTTTCTTATTAGGATTAAGTTGGCTTCAAAGTTTGGAAGTGTTCCTTCTTTTTTAGCTTTGCTCATATTTGCTTCAGGTATTTTCAGGTTGTTAATAGGAATGTTAAGTACTCAGGACTGTTATAAACTGTTGATAACTTGACCTCTGTATAATTCTGAAACATCCTTCATTTTCACTGATGATATTTCTCATTTTAAAGTCTGCTTTATTTATCACATAGACACAGCTTTCACCTAATCAATGATGCATGGTGTATCTTTTAGCAATTAAAAAAATTTTTTTTAAAACTTCCCCAAATCCTTAAAGTGCCATGTAAGCAGCAGCACTTACATAGTTCAAGACCAATCTGTACTACACATTGGGACTCTATTAATAAATTTAAAAAGTAAAAATAAAAAATAAAATTTCTTGTAAACAATACACACTCAAGTCCTACTCCTTTCATCTGACAATTAGAGTATCTAGTCCAGTCAAACTCTCAATGCAATAATTAATTCAATCAATCCAAGTCCACCAGCTGGCAATTTTTTGTACCAACTATTAGTCGTTTTTTATTTTCCACTTTTTTTGGCATAGGGGAATCAATTTTCTCTTGGCTTTTTTTAAACTTTAAATTCACTCTTTAGAGTGTATAGCTCTGAGTTTTGACAAATATGTAAAATCATGTAACCACTATTATACACATACATATAATCATGTAGTGAAATATGTAATAGTTCTACCACCCTAAGAACCTCCTACATATAACCATACCACTCCCAGGCAACCACTAATCTGTTCTTTATAATTTTGCCTTCGAGAATGTGACAAAAATTGAATCACAAAATACACAGTGCTTGTTTAGCTTTTCATTCAGCATAATTCCTGATACAACAGTGTATTCCATCCTTGTCAATGTTGAGTAGTATTTCATTTTATAGACAGATGTATCATACTTTGTCACTGCTATGCTACAGATTGGACCCAGGGCCCCTCACATACACAGAACTACACTCCTAGCTTTATCCTCTAGTTGAAGAGCATTATGAGTTTATAAGTTTTGAAGATTACAAAGTTCCATTAACATTTGCATATAGGTTTTTCGTGAATGTGTTTTCATTTCTTTTAATAAATACCAAGGAGTGGGAATGCTAAATTATGGGTAAGTACATGAGAATTCCAGTTGTTCTGTATTCTCACCAACACTGGGCATTGTCAACTTTAAACTTTATGCTGTTCTAATTAGTGGGTTAAGACATCTCATTGTGGTTTTTATTTATGTCCCTATATAACAAATGATATTGAATATCTTCTCGTGTACTTACTTTTTACCATGTCTTCCTTGGTTAAGTTTATGTTCAAATCTTCTGCCCATTTTTTAAAAAACTTAGTTTTTGTAAGCATCTTGTCCTCTATAAGTTATAGCTACATACATATTCTCTATGAGTCATTTCGCAAAAAATTTTTTCATTCTGTGGCTTTTTTCATTTTCCTGGGTTTTTTTAAAAATTATTTTTTAGTTGTAGTTGAACACGATAT